AATAAGTTAGAAAATACATTAGTTGAATCCATAAATTCAATATATAAACCATCTAATTTAATCTAATTTCCTATAACATTGGAATTTAAAGAAAAATTAGTCCAAACTTCAGCTATGTCAGATACTGGAGCTTTTAAAAGCATAATTAAAAGACATTTAGTACCAGAAGAAACATTAATAAAATTAAATTATAATGTTAACATTAGTCAATATAATAATGAAAAACTGTCAATAATTCATTGGGTCCATAATGTTCCTATAGTAATTAATAATGAAAAATTTGTTTTACCACAAACTATGTAGTTAATAATAGTCCGAGTATTTACGATTTTATTTTAGGATTAAATTTTATAAATTCACTCACCAGAGGATTCATGTATACCCCTATAGGTTTACAATTCTTTAAACAAAGAATATTTATTCCATCTAACTCTCCTTGTATTCCTCATAAAGAAAAATGATCTATTATTTATATCAATACCTTACCTATGACCGAATTAACTATGATAGAAGAAAAGACAGAGAATTTATTTGATGTAACAGAATTTGTAGAAGATGTTTCTGAAGCGTTAATGTTTCTTAGTTACTTAGATGAACCAAAGATTTTACTTAATAATAAAGCTATATTAAAAAATTCTAAATTAGACATTGATAATCTTATAAGACTAGCTGAAACTACTGAAAATTTAGGAGAAGATCCCCAAAAACACTGGTACAAAAATAAAATCGAAACCAAATTAAATATAATAAATCCGTTCATAACTATAAAAACACAAATCCGCATACCTTAGATGATCAGGAAGAATTCCAAAAACAAATTAAAAAACTTTTATCATTAAAAGTAATAAGAAAAAACAATAGTAGACATAAGAGTCCAGCTTTTATGGTTAGAAATCATTCAGAAATAAAAAGAGGAAAATCTCGTATGGTTATAAATTATAAAAGATTAAATGATAACACATATGATGACAGTTACAAAATTCCTAATAAAGATGTTTTGATAAATTGAATACAAGATAGAAAATGGTTTTCTAAATTCGATTGTAAATCAGGATTTTGGCAAATCCATATGCCTAACAAATCCATTGAATAGACTGCGTTCATATGTCTTGAAGGATATTATGAATGGTTTGTTATGCCTTTTGGATTAAAAAATGCACCACAGGAGTTCCAAAGAAAAATGGATATTATATTCAATAGATATTCAAAATTCTGTTGTGTTTATATATACGATATTCTAGTCTTCAGTCAAACTAAAGAAAAGCATAGAAAACATCTTGCACTTATATTCAACGAATTTATAACACAATGACTTATTATAAGTAGTAAAAAGATGATATTAGAAAAACAAGACATTGAATTTTTAGGCTTGTACATTAAAGACGGAAAAGTAAAACTACAATCACATATTGTTAAGAAGATTTTAGACTTTCAAGATAAATTAGAAGAAACTAAATTTCTACAAGCATTTTTAGGATTATTAAATTATGGTCGCAATTTTATTCCTAAATTAGGACAATCAGTAAGACTTTTGTATTCAAAATTAGGTAAATATAGTCAAAAATATTTTAATACTCAAGATATAGAACTAGTAAAGAAAATTAAATCTTTGGTCACTCAGTTAGAATCTTTACAACTCCCACTTGAAAATAGTTATAAAATAATCTAGATAAATGCATCAGCTCAAGGATGGGCATGTTTACTTCTTCAAAGACCTACAAAAGAATCTTCATGAGATGAAGAACAAATTTGTCGCCATGCTAGCGGAATTTTTAATAAAGCACAATCTATTTTACCTTCAACAGATCAAGAAATTTTAGAAGTAACCAACTCTATTGAAAAATTTCAAATATTCCTTGACAAAGAATTTCTTATAAGAACAGATTGCGATAACATAGTTAAATTTGCAAACAAAGCAAAACAACAGCGGATGTCTGCAAAGAGATTGATTTCATTTATTGACTGTATTACTAGAAGAGGTTTTAAACCTATATTTGAACATGTCAAAGGAATAGACAATTATTTAACAGATATTCTATCCCGTTTACTAATCGATTGTTAAATTTTGCAGGAATGGAAACAAAGAGCAACAATAGTTATAGTCTTATACCAGGCACTTTTAATCCTTTTTTGATTATCCAAAACCTAGCTCAATAGTTCCGCGCTAAACATAATCTTTTTCTAACCAAAAACTTATTTTAGATAATATTTGGTTTTCCAGAAATAACCTCGATAGAACCCTCGTCAGAAATCTAAATATTTTAAGTGAATATTTTGCATCATCTAATAAAGCATATCAGAATTTACAGCAGGAACATGAGACGCTTATATCTCATTATATAAAGTTGAATCTAGCTTATCAAAAAACAACAGAAAACCCCACAGAACTAACTATTTCTGAGCAAAGGACTGTTGAAGATGAAAATCTTCAGAAAGTTCAATTTCTGTAGGTACAAATCAAGTATGCCAAGTTATTACCCATTTTCTCACCAACCTACAGAGAAATCCTGAGACAACAAGTTGAACTTTTTCCTGATGATCTCAAGGATCTTATCCTTGAAGAAGTCAAGTCTGATGGTTTCAAAGAATGGGTTGATATCCAAAACTACCTCAGAAATAATAGTCCACCTAAATGAACTCGTTATAACTATTTTTCCTACGATTTATACAAACAGGCAACCTCATACCTATGGCCATTATTTTGTTAGACGTAGACATTGTTTTCTTCTATCCTTTTGAAATAACCAGAAAAACCCTTTTCTCTACAAGAACTACCATCTGTTACTTAAGACATGCTATTAGAATACCTAGATTCTTTAGGTAACTTTCCCAACCGTTTAAATCAAGCCATTGCCTTCGAACAAAAATTAACCAAAGATTTCATTCCAGAAAGTCCAATTCTCCTTTAAATCCATAGTACCCCCCAGAATGGGTAAAGGATGGAGCGATAATTCTGGGACAACATCGAATTTACATTTACTCTGATCCCACAGAAGTCAAAGTTCTTACCCAACATATTGATTTTGTAAATAACTTTCGTAATGAGATAGAACCAGCTACCTTTAACCATTTGGTATACTACAAAGCCTATCAGCAAGTTAACCCAAGCTACAATCCTGGTTTCAGACTCTACGATCATAATATCAACATGAAAATTTTTGTCAAAGCAAGAATTCCTCATGTCATTAAGTCTCCTCCAGAGATTGAGATATCTCCAGAAGTTGAAGAAATAATAAATGAAGAAAAGATGTTGTTAGAACAGTTTGATCTCGCTTACAGAAATGAAGAAACTAGCTCACCAGACAACACTGATGTATATTTTGCCCGCATGCATGAAAGAGAATGAAATGACAGCCCAACAAATAGCACTACCGACAGAAATTTGTCCAATATGTAAGAATTCTAAAAGTATCTAAGGAAAAATAGATTCGCCATAGTGTACAGATAAAGGCAGATTCAACATCTAAGAAAAGTAGATTCGCAACAGTGTACAGATAAAAGCAGATCCACCGAAAGCAAATTCTCAACAGTAGATAAAACTCCCCAGAAGCCGACATCAATAGTTCAACAATAATTCAACACTCTTAATCTCTAAAGCATTTTGAATCTCAACCGTCTATGTAATATTTTAATCTCAGCTAAAGATTCATCTCCCTCATTTCCTATAAAAGGAGCCTCTCTGCTCAAGTAGGATCATCGAGTTTTAGAGCAACCGAGTTAAGAGCCATCGAGCATTCCAGTCCTCTATCTTCTTGTGTGCTTTCTTTTGTGATTTCTTTCAGTACATATATCTTTGTAAAATAGTGTGTGAGAATGTATCCATGTATAAACAGAGTGTATCCATGTATATATTTCTTATGCAATAAATCATCCAGTTTGCTCTTATTTAAAACTTCTTTATCTCTATTTAGTATTTTAAATACTTTTGTGCAAAAGACTTCTGTTGACAAAAAGATCAAATATATACATTTTATTTAGCCAGACAGTGTAGATCCTAGAATTTTCTTGAATCCAACTAGTATAAGTAGCCTTAGTTTTAATTTAGCAATTTCTTCTGTGAGTTGACTCAAACTGTTGGCTTGTTGGCCCGTTCTTGCCGGTGTTCAGGCGTTCTCACAAGGCGTTATCAGAGCGTTATCAGGTTCGGTAGTCATTTCTGTGATTTAATTGTTAAATTTACTCTATGTTATTTTGCATTCTTCTATCTGGTTAGATTTAACTCAATTTTGGTATCAGAGCCTATATTGTTTCGTTAAATTTAATTTATATATAAGATCTTTTGTTTAAAGAAGTCTCTAAGTCCATATTAATTTATTATGAAATTTTAATTCCATATTTAATAGTTTGTTCACTCATCTTTTGCAAATTTAGTTCAAACTCTAAGGTCAATATAAAATAAAAGTATTAATTTGGGTCTTTAATTATAATATAGTTTGTTGTGTGGTACAAAAGCATAAAGTGCAATCCATTTTAAAGAAATATTTTGGTGGTCGTCCAATTATTGAAACTTTAAGACCTTATCCTCATTTTACTGTAGTATTTGGGCCTTATGCCTATATATTGGTAAAAATCCCTTAATTTTACTTCCCCACCTAGCTACTCTAGGTTGGGGGAAGTATGATATTTTAAACTTCAGAAATCACCAACAAATTAATACCCTATACCGGCCTTCTAAAATCAATATTACTTTGTTTCCAGAACTAGTAAACAATTATGCAATATAATTCACCATACCACGTTTCCACTGATTTTGCACTATTCAGTGTAGTATTTCTCTTATTTTTTTGCATTCTAATCCCATTGTCCTACAAATATTGGCAATTTTTATTTCTATTTTATTATTATGTCATTCCTTAGCATTATTTGAAATACTATATTACTGATACTGAAAACCAAGGTTATAGTTATTATAATGAAAAAAAAAAAAAATTCCTAGCTATGACAAGTCTCCTAATTATTAAAAAAAAATATACCCCAGAAGCAAACATGAACAACTTAAATTCAATTAAAAGAAAAAAATTTAGCTCTTATATTCTATAAAATTACAAACGAGAAACATTTGATGAATTACCACAGTAGATACAATTTACAACAGTATATAATTACATACTAGCCCGTTCAAGAGGAAAGCAACTGATTTAAAAGGCACACGTACATATTGGATTTTCTTACAACCAAGAATGAGCAGCCGTGGTGCCAAGAAGAGTACCTGAAAAAATGATAGGAGCTTTAAGGCGTTTTCTGCTTCATCTCAATTGCCCCTGTTAAAAATGGTCCCGGTCAACGGATTTCACGCGGGAACATTGAAGTGAAAGAGCCAGGAGATGACAAATGCAAAGACCATACAAGCTAGCAAGAAGTTAAGAAATCGATGGGTCTGCCAGAAGTTTCGAGCCTCTGAAGGGGGCACTTGTGCTGCAATAGCTTCTGCAACAGCCTCATTAGAATCACTCCATTGCCCCATCAATTCGGTTTCGTTTGCAACAGCAACATTGCGTGCTATTGATCCACAGATTTCACAGGCTCTGCGGTTTTCAAAATTTCAAGTAAGATTCAACCAAAAAAAAAATTTACAGAAACAAATAGAAGAAAGTGAAAGAAGTTTCTCAATGTAAATGTGAAGTAGAATTCTAAAAGCTCATCAGATGTCTAACATTGACTACTTGTGAACTTTTGGTCAATAATTTGAGACGGGAAAATAATGATAAATAAATAGTAAAGCCATATTTAAATTTCCTGAAATCGTGCATTAAAAATGATGATTTCTGATATCCTTTTTGCTGCTACAATCTGTCCGGTGATAATGGAAGATACTCGCATTTTCTGGCAGAACCATGGACATAAGTGAAGACTATTTCAAGAAGAATACTTAAAATTTCATCGGTCAAGGAATGAATATTTGAATTAGTTACATAGACATTCTCTCAACCTATAAACTAAACAAGCCAGAGTCTTGTGTACTGAATGTTGGCCAAATTTGCTCCATTTTTTTCACAAAACACGCACAAACACGCACTTACACTTGATACTAAGGGTAGAGATGTTGGCACATGAATCCTTGACTCTGGAAAAGGTTAGCAACTCATCATGCAGGAGAAATTTTAGCGAATTATGCTCTTAAATTCCAAAATGAGATTTAGGACCATGTTACCTGCAGGCTGCAGTGTAACAAGAACGCTTTGGAAACTAAAACATAACTAGGAATTTAACCATGGATAATAATCGTGACAAGATTTTTAAAGTTCTTAAACTAACTACATTTAGTTTCTGCCAAGCTGAGACTCAGAACAAGATTTGCATTCTCGACCCAAATAACAAGATTTTGGGCCTTATGGTGCATTTAAAAATGAAAACCATCAAATTTTGAGTAAAAAGAGCAGAATATTCCCTTATAGAACAAGGGGAAAGAGGGAATAGATATTTAGTGTGCTCAGTGCACCGGACTAATTAGATTTGTGCGTGATGTGCACCGGGCTAATCAGAGCCGTGCGTGATGTGCACGTGCCAGCGCATGCTGTACACACACAACTTTGATAAGCCAGGTACATCGGGCGCACCGAATATCTACTCGGGAAGAGGAAGTAGAGTCTAGAGAGGGGTATAATAAGCTAAAAACTTCCCAAACTTGATTGCTATATGCTCACCTGCATGAATTGACACCTTATCAACTAAGTGGCTAAACAAATATGATAGGATTTAGAACCCTAAAATAAAGGCTGCGGGTTTGCCGACAATCAAGAAGCCTTTTTGGACGCAAGGAAACTGTCCATGGTATTGAGTGGAATGTTTATTTCAAGCTAGTACACTGCTGAACAGGTCTATTTATATCATACCAACTTCTTAGAGTTGGGGGATTTTATTATGAACTGAATTTGCTGATCACGTAGTAGTGGTCCTTGGACCGTATTTTGGATCAAATTATATCAATGGGTACTTAATACTGGTATTTAGAAGGTCTATAATATATTGGTAGACAAATTTTCATAGTTTCTCATTTTATAGTCATAATATATGACGAGCTATACAAATAAATGTAATCATTCAATTAAACAGAGCTATGTTTTTAAGAATTGAAGATTGCATTTATGAGATGCAACTTAACCCCTGAAGGGGTAAAGCAAGATTTATGGATTATCATACAAATTACCATGCATCGGTTACTGCAAGAGGACTCCCTATTCATCCAAAACCTTATCATTCCAAAACCTAATCAAGCACAACCTTTTCCTCACCTTTGGTTCTTTAATTTAACACCAAAAAAACCCTGAAGTCCTTTAATTTCTATTATTACTACAATCTAAAACTTCTAAAACCAAGACAATTTCAATCCCTCTTTTATACACAATCCCCACAATGTTTCCTCCACCTCTTAAAGCCCGTTACCTATAAGCTATGCATAGCCAAAACTTGAAATAAAACCAATTATGCACCACACAATTGTAAGATTCTTAGCACCGCCCTAAATAGATAAAGAAAGGAACTAAAAGTTGTCACTTTAATAGAAATTAGAAATGCACTAACCACAATGAGAAGGAATTTGCAGAATCATCTGATTCCCGAAGATGATAAGAACAATTGTATTACAAAGACTAGACACTAAGCATTCATTCATCAAGTGCAAGTGGAATTTACATTTTGTACACTGAATGGGCAACCACTGATCGTATTGGTCTCATTGCTCTGTTTATAGGACCATATACTAACAACACTATATGATTGTAGACGTTGACCAATCAATAGCACCTATCTAATTATAATGAGAGAAAAGACAGCAACAGAAGATTTGGGAGTTTTGACAATCCCAAACCCCTACTTCAAAAACTATACATTGTTCAACAATGAGTTCAAGTGAACTCACACATCAGTATGATTGAACCAATATATCGTAAAGGAAAACTTGCAAGTGGCGCATACTCTAACCTAGAAAAGAAATGCGTCGATCATAGTCATAAACCCAACTTGTAAACAAGAAGAAAGAGAAACCAGAAAGGTCAAAGAGAGAGTAAATTCCGACAGCACAAGGAATGGAGAAGAATTATTTGCTTAGTCGGCCAATGCCTTCATCCCTCGTTTAATTTTCGTGACTCTCTTCATTAATGAAACCTACATTTTGGTATTTTGTAGTCTTTTCCATTTTGTTCTCATATAAATTTTAATTGCCAGAATCCCACGGTAATTGACCAACCAATAATGAAGAACTTATCTGATGAGGGATCCATCATAAAGTAGGGCCTGTTTGATTCAGTTTTCTGATATTAGTTTTCCGAGCATTAAAAATCAGAAAATGTATAAAGATGACAGTTTTTGAAAACTGTTTTATAAAAATTCAGTTAAGAAAAGTCTATTTTTTATAGTTCTCCCGTTTTTTTTTTTTTAAAGGTCCAAAGCCAATTTCACATAATCACAATACCCAAAGAAACATTAACAAGAAAAATAAAACATTCCACTCTAATCACATCCTAAGAACACCTCAACTTAATTGTAACAAGCTATCACAGATGATAGTGTGTGTGTGTGTGTGTGTGTGTGTGTGTGTGTGTGTGTGTATTCAGAAAAGCTTAAAAAAAATGACTTTAAATTCTTTGGAAATTGAGAAACGTACTTGTTACCCTTAATCTTGAACCAAGTCTCAGCACACTGTTTATGAGCAACAGCCAAATCATTCTTACAGGAACAACCCAATTCCATTGGAGCACCATATTCTTGATTCGATGCATCAAAGGTCAGATGACAAATCCTACAATCTCTCTCAGATTTGGCTAAATGTACCTTATCCTCCTCCAACCCGCCTTCTAGATCAGCCTCTACCGAACACTCGGGCACAGAGCATTCCCTCCTCTTGTCAGAGACACCCACAATCTCACTTCCTCCGTCGCTTGCGGCGATGGAATGGCGGCGACCACCACTACCGTCCTCTAAATCAACATGGGTTTCTTCTGTAGTTGTCATTTTGGAGAAGAAGAGAGAAGACAGAGATCATGAATTCGGACCAATGTCTGTCTCTCTCGAGTCTCTACACACGGACAGATATAGATATATTTATACACACACACAAACATAGATATATACTGATCAAGTGATTATAGTAGCATATGACAAGGTATTGTGTTGTAGAGTTGTAGTAGGTTGTGTGTGCGTGTCGGTTCATAGACTGTATAATTTGGAAGATAGAGATAGATCAACAATTGGCTCTGCTCTGGCAGAGACACTTGGATATATACTACTATATTGAGCAGTTTTCAAGGAGTATTTAACGTATTATACTACCGAACATATATATATATATAGATGTACAAGTTATGGTATGTATATTAATGGCTGCTAAAAGGAGAAGAAAGTAAATGGATCCATGAATCATGAAGAAGAGGATTTGATTTTGATGGAAAAGACTAGTGTAAGAAGAGTAAACCAAGCAAAACTTTGCTTTTTGTTTGTCTTCTTTCACTGAGTTCCACTTTTACTTTGGTTGCCGACTTGGAAATCTTTATTCTCATAATTTCTCAAGAAAAAACCTTTATGTCCAAAAGATTTTTTTCACTTTTCATGTCCCAAATTATGGATAATGCAATATCTAACAGAAAAATTGTATGGTTTGACTTCGACGGTGAATTATGAGATGGCTCTAAAAATAATAATTATACTTATTTTATTTTCATGTTGGAGAATTATTTTGTTATTTGGGCCAATTTGACTCAAGTCGAATGCATACATGTTGGAGAAATTTTTTTAATAATAATAATAATTTATAAAAAAAAAAAAAAAAAAAACAACAGCAATACTATTGAAATGTATATCAGTTGTCCACTTGTCCACTAGCTCACCAAACGAGACGTGTATCAGTCTTTTGAACATGCTTAATTACCGGCAACTCCAAGTAGTAAAGTGTATAATTAGTAATTGGTGCAACTTTGACGTCTTCTTCCTTGAGTTATCCTAAACCCCACGTGACATGGACGTGCGAAAATAGTCACGGATACAGATTACTCCATTTGGGATGCATCTTACAAGTCACAATCAAACCAACGACCGCAATTTTGTATCACATCCAAACTTGATTTGCACATTCAAAGTTTAGAAGAATGTAATTACTTAATTTAAAAATAATAAAAACATCACGTTGTCCAATGTTTTATTATTTATTTATTTATTGTTATTGAAAGCATAATAAACATGCCTACAATTGATAACACAACCACCTTTACGTGAATATTTTTATAACAAGTAAATATGAAAGGCGTATCCCAACAACTTTGTCTATAAACAACGTTTTAGGTCAATCACACCTGCCAAGGCTGCCATTACTTAGTCTCAATATGTGGATTGCTAACTCATCTCCACTTTCCATGTTCTCTAAATTCTAGCTTAATCCTATGATCGTATCCAAAAGTTTATAACTGGCAGCCAAAAAAACAGATTTGGTTTTAACGAGAAAATTGAAATGAATAGCTCTGTAATCAGATCATTTTTATTACCCAATAAATGTCTTGCAGGGAATTGCAATCTTTATGTATAATGCAGAATGGAACCTACTCTGTATATCATTTTTTTTTTTTTTTTTTCCAGAAGTGTATCCTTTAATGGTGGTGGCAGCTACTGCATCAAACAGGACATCGTAACCATTGTAACAACTGATGTAAAAGATTCCTTGATCGTACCACGAAAAAATGGAGATCAGCGATGGGATTCAGCTCAAGCATTTTAGACTCCAGTTGGCAATGCAAAAGCTGGCATTGGCATCTGGGTTGACACCACATCTGTCATCATGCCCATCAACCTACTCCGTCCTTCCTCAAACCGAAAATGATCATTCTTTATACTCTGCTCAAAAACACACATTTTCTCTGCAGCGCCTTGGGACGATAGTCCAGTTGCAGTATCAGGCTTTATGGCAGCAGCATTCTCGAGCCCACTTCTGATCCAGGCGATATTGTTCAAATCAGTGGCTATGGAGGCCAACTCATGACTTGAGAAGATGGGAAGCTCCTCATATTCAACAAACTCAGGACCCAACAACGAGCTTTGAGAAGGGCCCGTACTTGGAGCTGCACAACAACCATTGCCACATCGCAGGGGAACCATGGGCTCGCCACAGACACCTTCAACAAATTTGGAGGTCTTCGAGGAATGGATGAATGGCCCCAACATTGGGACCATCCCTGAAAACATAGAGCTTGTTGGGTCACTTGAAGGGTTATAAACACTAAATGCACCAACACGGGCCACTGGACGAGAAAGGGCGGGAAAGTTCCTTTCGGCAGCGCACTGATCCTCATTTCTTTGACAATTCTCTTCACATAGGTTGAGTCTATTTTCCATCAGTCCCACTTCTTTTTCCTCTTGGGGTTTCAATGAATTGATATCTCCATACGACATGGTTTCTTCTGAGGATGCCTTCGTTTTTTCTGGGCTGCCTTCCTCTAACGTGTTTCCGGATGCCGGTTTAAACCTGCTGAGCTCCGTGCACCTTCGCCTGAGTGTAGAATTCCAGTGATTCTTAATTGCGTTATCTGTTCTACCTGGCAGGAGCTTCGCAATTGATGCCCATTTGTTTCCATGAATTGCATGGGCCGATATTATAATACGATCCTCTTCATCTGCAGCAAATTGTGTTTTACAAGACTTCATCAAGAGATTCAATGATACAATACCATAGTATAATCCACATGTTTCTATGAAAAGCCAACCAGGGTAATCTAAGAGCACAGATCTGTTGATGGAATAGCAGATACTAAGCTTTTACATTTTTGTTCAGGCAAGTGGCTGACCATGAAAGAGAGGAGAAGAAAACAATGTGTGCAAGCAAAAAAAGGTAACGCAACATAAACCAAAAAAAGGTAGGCTAACAGTGAAGTCCGAAAAAGATGGAAAGAAGAATGCAGATCCTGTATCATCAAACAAGTCACTAGGAATATTTAACGGATTAAAAAAAAAAAAAAAAAAAGAAAGAAAAAGAAGTCACTATGAATAACCAAACCTCAACACCACCCCCTAAAAAGGTAAATAATAAAAAATAAACCTAAGAAATAAAAATTATGTGAACAAACAATTATTAAATTTTCATTGCAAAGAATTATTAACTTATTATTTCTTACAACCTTGGATAATATTCATATAACTGAAGAAAAATACCACAAATCATACAGAATGGGAAAAAATAGCGTCTTAGCAAGTATTCAGCTGGAATTATTGTACCAAGAGAAACTACTTCATAAGTCAGATACTACACCTTCTGCTGGGCATAGGGTGCTTAATGTATGATGAAGAATAACCAGTTAGCTTAGCCATTGGGGGCTGGGTTTATGTGGTGGAGAGGATTATGGACACCCACCCCAACTCGTGTAGCGATTTATTACATCTAGACCAAATAATTAATAATAACATGATGAAAAATATAACAAATATGAGTTTAATTTATATATGTCCTCGCTGTCTAAATTTCAATACAATATTTATAATCTTACTATCAATCTACAGAAAAAATAAAAAATTAAAAAAAAATAAATTAAAAAAAAATAAAAATAAAAATTGGAATAGAAGTTCCAAAAGATGAGTAAATCTTGCGACGCAATTTGAATAGTGATAAAACCATACTTTTCTGTCAATATTCAAGCACTACTCTTACGAGTTACAGTACAAGATATATACAACTTACTTCCCATCTAATCCTTAATCCTATGTTTCTCATTACTTGGAAACGACAACCAGCCAGCCAGATACTAACGTACTGCTTTCTCAATGAAAGAGAAATTACCTAACCTCCAAAAAAATCAATATTTTACCACTTTTCCGTCAGGTCAAGTGAATCTCCCACAGAGCCTATATTCTTCTAAAACTTCCCCAAACCGGAAGATCTATAATTTTCTTAAGAAATATAAATTTCTCAGTCTCCCTGCATTCATGCCTTAAAGGCTTCTCCTACCAAATCAATTCTATCAATAAAAAATTTGAGGATCAACATCAATTTCAATGCACAATGGTAAAAACGTATTCTGGCAGCACTCCAAGAGCCTCTTTATGCAGACATATTTAATACAATAACAGAGTAGTTTCTCTTGGGTATAGTTAAATCAGTAAACAAGAGAACCAAATGTTTTTCAAAATAAAGATGTCAGAAGTATAACAGGAAGGAAAGTGTATGTAGAAAGGCCTGGCTTATGATAAGGTATAATATATATATATATATATATATATATATATATACACCGCTAACCACAGAAATTGGCCAAAAAGAATTTGAATGGTAAACTCAATTTTTCATTGGGTTGAGTTATAACAATCAAACAAAAGTATCATAAAGATAAGTCGTGTTGGACTTCATAGGAGGGGATAAGGTTAAGTTTTACAGAGAGAGTAAAGCCTATAACTGAGCAAAATATCAGGTTTTGTTGGAACAGATCAGTAGTACTTAAATGATTGTAAAGGAGAGATAATTATGAAGAACACGAAAAAAAAAACTAGTGAGAGAGAGAACAGAGAGAAAACTGTTAATATCAGAATCAAGCTCATAGGTCTATAGGACAGTTCTGCAGAGAATAAAGTATTATATTTTCTTAGGGTTTAAGCAGAACAAATTTTACATCGAATTCATAGAAGCTCTTCAACAGAAGGCACTAGAAAGCGTTGTACATAGGATTTCCCAGCCAAGAAAAATAGAAAATTTGCAATCTTTTCATCTTTTGGCAATAAATTTTTTAACTCTGCACTCATAATAGTGAAAAATCAAAAGAACAGCACTGCACTATGGCACCAAGAGAAAACATAGCATACTACCAGAGAAACAGATGCTTGCAAAAACTAAACTATTTAAATTCCCACTTGGGGCCCACCTCAGAATCATCTTACCAGATTAAACTTCAAACTAGTAAGTATGCCATTTCTATTACTCTGTAAACTTATATCATGGCTAATTTCTATCAAAGCATTACAAAAATCAAGGGAAAGCATGAACTGTGTGCTGTAAAAGCCAGTCTCACGATAACAACATATAAAAATATGATGATCTATAGAGCAACTAAGAACAAATAACATCACTTCACCCTTTATGAAATTATAAATGCCAAAATAGTGGTTGTGGCAGATTAAGCTCTCAATTCTCAGTTAAAGCCTTAATAAAAAGTGTACCTGGTATAAGCATCATCCAAATTATCTAGCCTGTGGAAGTGAGAATAGGAGCTACTGTATTTCCATGCTTATAGATTGGGCTGTTCAAGAAACTGAGTTACTTGAGTCCGATTCATTTAAAGCTCATTTAAGCTAATTCATAAGATTCAGTTAAGCTAGATCTCAAGTCTCAATCTTGATTATTAAATGAACTGAGGTTGAATAGGACAAAGATGGGTTCAAGTAAGCTAGTGAATGATGGTATCATACTATCATGTATGCTCAAGAAAATTCCAATATTCTTTGCAGGATATAAGACCCATATTTGACAAAATGAGTTAGGAAATAATGCAAAACTCTTCTCATGTAATATTACGTGAAACTCCACCAATGCATGAATGCTGCAACAGATCCCCTCGGTACTAAGACACAAAGATGTGATGACATGGCAAGATACAAATTCTAGGATGTAGATCAAATAAAGAAATGGCTAACAGAATAGAGAACCTGGGCCCAAGCCTAATACCAGGGACTACTGACTGAACTTGCATTCATCTAGTTTGCTTCTCTCACCCAATTGAATGCTCAGTCCAGTCAACTGTCAGTTGCCTTCCCCAATCGGAATGCTCTATCTATTCCAAGTTGAGTTCGCCCCCAAAGCTCACTTTGTAGGTCAGAAATTTCAAAAGACGAAAGAGAACCCCCTACATTAGCAGTTCGGGTGATCAAAGAAAAAAATGGCTATGATCTTTTCTTTTCTTAATTCTCAACAGAACACCACAAGGATGGCAACATCTCATTATCACTTTCGTATTTTCCCCACCGAGGTGAAAAGACAGTTTAAACAGACATCAGTTTTCACTAGTAAGTCTACAATACTACTATATTTTTCTGAACAACTACAGACTAACAATTGAGTTTTTACGATACTTGATTACTTAAATTATGACAAACCAAGGTCAAGCAATGTTTTTAAGACAGTATGAACATCCAAGCTCAAACTCACTTGTGAACCAATCAACTTCATCATTGGGCTCGGGTTGGCTTGTTTTCAACCTTACCTTCAGACCAAGAGAAGAAGTACGACAATAACCCTCCCCCTCTCTCAAACACCCTTTTATTTGAAAGGAAGAACATTAATAAAGATTGACACAAGGTTCAGTGATGGGACCAATCTAGGTCAATTGGTTTGAATTCTGATAAGATTTACAAAATCCAGTTCTAAGGAGATGGAACTCAGACCTAGTCACAAGTAATGATCACTCAATATGATAAACAATAGTACACGTAGCAGGTTTTTATGTCATCCATTTTTTATTTTATTGACTCAGATTTAAAACTGTAAAGACATAAAATCCTTCCTTAACTTAGATTGATATATTAGGATCTGAAGTACAATATGATTATTAAGATCCTTGTTTATTCAAACTAAGCTTATATTTTAGTATTTGTGTTCATATTTGTATTCATATAGAGTCAAGACTAATCCTAAGGATGCACATAATCAATTGAATCTGTAGCCCACATAATTGAGCCACTAGCTCACCAATCATATGACAGGTCGTTCTTCATCTTTCTCCATAGACATAAGTGGTGCAGGAACGACATATAGGCACCTTGCAGATGGCTCCCCTGTACCTGATGTTTCCATTGGCTTTGCTGGCTTGATAGGAAGTAATCCCAAATGTCAAACTCCTAAACACTCAAACTAGAGTAACAACCCATTGAGCGACCGCTAGACACTACAATTTCTTTTCTAATTATTTAATTCCACAGCTTGTGGAGCATGCTATTGCTATCATTGTTTGTCCTTCTCAACATCTTACCAATCACAATTAGCAAACCAATCAACAATGAAATCACTATTTCCTTTAATTAAATACCCAGATATGTAACAATTCCAAAAGAAACAAAGAACAATAATATATAGAAAAGAAATTCAACTTATAATAGGACTCAAAAGTCAAAACTTGAAGAAAAGCTCCCCAACAATATGTCTAGATGTTACAGCTATACAGTCATTATCTCCTCCAGTGTAATTTGCAAGCAACAATTCGGGCATCCCACAGAATCTTAATCACTCGTCAATATTTTACATAATCTAAAAATATATCATCCAAATGAATCCATTGGGAAAACAGCAGCTACCATACAAGCAACAAATAATGTTAAAAATTTTGAATTTTTACATCTGAGAAGTTCAATTTCAATTGAGTGATCAAACAATTCTCATAGAATAAAGTTAAAACGAAACAGAAAACAAACCACAATGTGTGCAGAGAGATACAGAAGTGATATGAACAATGGAAGAACGGAAAATAAAAATGTGGAAGATTTACAATCAGACATCAACCAACAAAGAATTAGATTACCGCATTCAACAAAATACCAAGTTAATGCCAACTAAACCCAACTAATCATACTACTAAACGCAGAGAGAACCATCAAATCTTGAATCAAGAAAAGAAAAATACCAGAACACTCGGAAAACGAAATCCACAAAAACCCCTAGATTTGAAATCAAAAATCAGAACTGAAAACCAGAGACCGATCAACAGGCACACATACATAATCTACTAAAAAGTGAAAGTGGAAGATTGAATCGGTCATGGCGGTGGTTACCAGTAAAGGGCTTGCGCTTCACGCAAGGATCGAGCTGATTACACCACCGTAGGCGGCAAGACTTGCCGGACCGGCCGGGAATTCCTCGGGCGATCAAGCTCCAATTCCTCGCCCCGAACTTGCTCACGAGTCGACTCAGTACCGCGTCTTCTTCAGGCGACCAGGGTCCTCTCACTCTACTAGTACTGCCGCCACCAGTTCCGTCTCCGTTGCCACCGTCTTCCGGCACTACATCGCCGCCGTTGGCATAACCGGAAGGTCCTTCGTCGTCGGCGGCGGCGTCGAGGAGTGTTAAGTCGTTTGGGTCCTCTTCCTTCATCTCGGTTTCTCTCTCCAGTCTTTCCGTTTTCGTCACTTTCTCTCTCTACGAATGCAACCGTACCTACCTGCCTAACTGCAATTTGTTCTCAAGGACATGGGGAATTGATTTTTTAGTGCCAATTTTTTTTAATTATTTTTTATTGAATCTGTGTGTATAATAAATAACTTTATACCTGTTTCACGGTTTTGCTATGTTTTTATTCAAATGACCAACCTGTCCTTCCATTTTGTGAGGTTGAAGGAATATTACTGAATTACAATTTTTTAATAAATTAATTAATGTAGTTTTTCATTGCAAGTAAATTATAGTTTAAAAAAATTCAATCAAACTTCAATATATATATGTATAATATATATTTCATTGAGTCGAGTCGATTCATACTGTTAGAATGAAGGAGAATATATATATTTTTAGTTTAGTTTGTATGGTGTTACAAATTCAATAGTCTTTTCCTAATTCAAAATGTTAATTAATGTATTAGACAATTGAGTCCAATTTACCAATAAGCCCTCTTCTCTGAGGAAGTTGAGTGTTGGAGTTTGGTGGAATCAAAAATATACTTGTGGATTCATTTATTTATTAATTTTGAGTGAGAAGATTATGTGTTAGTGTTTGTCGAGTTATTTAAACACTAAAAACTCATTTACTTGCAATAGAATTGGCCCAACGAGAATTATACTTTGTTGTAAATAAACATATTGATGAATCATGCCAATTGAAAAACCAAAAAGATGTACACAGTTACAAGTTTGAACATGCATATGTAATAATTCCAAGTGTCCAAATTTTTATTTTTATTTTCCTTGATAAGTAACAGAACCAATTATTATTATTTTATTTTCGGTAAAAAGAAACATAACTACAACTGAGGGCAAAACTGAAAAGAGCCCAAAGAAACGGCAAGATCAGCCTTTATGGATTGAACACTAAGGGCCCAACAACCCAATTGGTGAGCAATAAGCCAATACCTTGTCTAGAATGCAAAAAATTCATCTTGGGCCCTTTCAGAACCAAACCAATCCGGGGAAAAATTCCTGATGGCCCCATTTGAAGTGGTCAGTTTTTTTTTTTTTAAGCAAATAAATTGTCCTTAGATTTAATGGCATAAAACTTTCTGAACTATAAATAACTTGGTAATTATCTCGATAGAGAGGGTAATGAAAAATTTTCATAGTTCAAGGAATTTTTTGCAATTAATCCGGGAGTTTGAAACAGATTTTCAAAAAGTTTCAATGTTTTAGCCTAATAGAGTTATTTTTTAGCCGTGCAAAATTGAAATGGGTATATTGCAAATTTTAAGTAGTTGAGGATGATCATCATAATTTAGGAAAAATTACATGTATTAGTTAAGAGAGTCTTAAATAATAAATCTATTTTGAAAGTTCCATTTTATATTTGATTGAATTAAACAAATTAATTATAAAACGTATCAATAATTTAAGATAAAATAAAAAAAACACCCTCCAAACTCTTACTAAACAAATTAATTATAAAACGTATCAATCAATAATTTAAGATAAAATAAAATAAACACCCTCCAAACTCCTATTCTAAAATAAGAAATTAAACTCTTATTCTAAAATAAGAAATTGTTTAACTTTTATCAATGTATATTTGTACACCAACATTTTATGCATAAATTATTAAATCAACCAAAATAAAGCCACAATTACCTTCCGAAATACCCAAAAAAAAAAAAAAAATTACTGCTGCTAACAGTGGCGAGCGCACGGTATTCTTTAGTAAAAGGCGAAAGAATAGTTCGCTCTGTCCTCGCCACACAGCTCCGTATTTGTAACTCCGCCTGGTGCTTGTCATGATATAGGCACGAGAAGGGTTTTTGCTCACTTTATCGATGTGGGACCTTTTTTTTTTTTTTTTACCACTGACAGTGGCTTCACATTTCATTGCCACTCACTCCTCTCTCTCTCTCTCTCCTCCGTAAATGATTTCATGACCTCTCTCTCTCTCTCTCTCTCTGCCTCTCTCTCTCCTCTCTTCCCTGATAAATGATTTCATGACCATTGCTTCTCTCCTTCTGATTGTGCAATCAAATCAAGCAAACAACATTTCAAATTTCGGAAAATGATGGGAGTGTCGATGGGTTTTTATAAACGACCGAAGTGTTAATTATTGATGAAAACACTTTAAGAAAAGAGAGAGTCTGTCTTATCACTTACCCGAAAAGAGTTTTTGTTCGACGCTATTTGTTAGATCAATTGGATATTGTAGCGTTACTCTTCAAAATCCAAACACCAAGAGCTTCAAGTTCCACATCTCTTCAATGAAATATGCTCCGTAAGTGAAGACTCTCCTGTGGCTGTATCTAACTAATACCACATGTGCTTTCCAATACACTGAAATTTTTAGACATTACTGTTTTCATCCATTTTATTTTCTTATGAGATATATGTGTGTGTGTGTGTGTGTTTATATATGATAATAAAGGAGATGAGGCTTTTTGAACAAGTGAACACTCTCCAGCTATTCTACTTATTCAATGTGTGGACTAGGCTGATTATATGGACATCTGAGTCAGTTTTTAGTTTCAATAAGGTATATTAATCCGGAATTAGGACCCAATTTACCTCAAGGATGATAACCTGTTTCAAACTTACAATTTAGAAAGTCACTGGTAGGACTTAAGTCACATAATTTTTTTAAACGGCTACCTCTCTCATGCTCACGCTCATGCTCCCGATCTCACTATTTATGACTTAGATTTTGCCCTTATGCACTTCTGCTCTTGCCATTCACTCCTGATCTATGTGTGACTTACACTAGGACTACAAACTTGGACGGCCAGGTCTAAGGCCCAAGTCGCCCATACGATAAATGGGTGGGCTTCTGAGTAGCTCGTGTAGGTTTCATCTTTTCTTCTTTCTTTCACAATATGAGAAACTTATATCTTTTTTGTAGCAGTTTTTTCTATAGGCTTCAAGACAAGGTCAGATATCTCAATTGAACCTAGGCCCAAATTCCTTGAACCCACATAAGCCCAAAAGCCCTTGGATGGCTTTGGATTGTATCTCTCATATAGGTTGATTAGTAAAAGTGTAATAAAACTGTTTTTAAAGCATCTATTTTGAAATACTAACATTTTATGATCATTTTAAAGATGTCATTTTAAGAGTCTCTATTTCTCTATTTAAGTTTTGATAATGAAATACCAAGTGATGCCATCTTTCTTTTTCATTATCTCTATTTCACATTTCTATGTTAGAGGAAACATTAATTCTTAGTACTATCTTATCCACATTTACATGAATGACTTTGTAAGGAGTCCTTTTCGAGTGTGAAGAAAAGAAAAAAAAGGACTAATTAAAGGCTTAACTAATATTAGTACTAATTTGGAGTCTAGTAGGTGAGCTTTTTGTTGACTTTCTAACCCATTACTGTATAAGGATGTCGGACGGTTGGTGGTTGGTTTCTATTAAATGCGAGTAGCGTGTTGGATGCGTAAGTTTTAGTTCGAGTGAAATCGCTTGTCATCCGAACAATTTTAAGGTTCTAATTTGAATTAGGTAGGGTAGAAGTGCTCAGTGCTCGCACTTTACTTTTAAAAGAAAATTGTGCATATGGGGGACCGACTCCATTAAAGGATAATTTATAAATAATATAAGATCAATATGCTGTTATATCAACTGATGCAGAATCAATGTGTTTTTCATCTGATATCAAAATGATATAATGTACAATAAAGAAAATAAAAAATAAGAGGACATAATATGAGATCAACAAAACGAAGGGAATGCAAAAAATAGAATATATAGGCTAGCAATAGGAATCGGACCAAGAATTTGGCTCGGGGGCATATTAAACCTTAAAAAATAAAAATAAAAATAAAAAAGTTCCAACTAACTGTGCAATAAGACAAAATTGAAAGGGAAAATTTTAGGGCAATTTGGTACTAAGTTGGATGAGGACAAAAAAAAATAATAATAAATAAATAAATTTTTAAAAAATAAAAATAAAAAGAGGAGAGAGAATAGAATGCTCCAAGTAATATTTTTGGAAGATGCAGTTGTAATAAACCATTGATGTTGCTATGAGTGGGTTTTCAAATGAAAGTGAGAGATTAGCAACCGAACAAACAAGGGAACCCAACACCATGCGTTGGTGGCACAAAGTGCGACAAATAGACAATGACACTCTCTGATTTATGTCATGATAAAATTATATTATGTTAAGAAAATTTTAATGGAGAATGGACTCATATCAACTTATCTTTATGACTTCTCATCAGATTTTTCTTCTTTCTAAAAAAAGCAATCTCTAATTGAAATTTAGAAGAAAATTAACAATTGAAATTCTTGTTTTTTCAATGCTTGATTTGTCTGATTTAACAACAAACACATCACTAAGATTCCAGGTTAATTAGTTGAATTGTCAAGACTTTCACTCCACGGGAACTTTGAAATTTATTCCATGCTCTCTCACCTTTTGTTTCCCACCATTCAATACCAATCTGCACTTACAGTATAATATACGTTTGGAGTACAACCCATTATCAATTAAACACTCGATTATTATTTTTCTCACTCTTCTGATTCTTCCTCATCATCATCGTCATCCTTTCCTTATTCACGTATGAATGGGGGCGTGAATTTTCTCCCTTCAGGCTACTTTTCTGATTGATTTGGTTATATAAACTTAGGTTCAAGTGGAGAAAACATCCCTAATGCATATTCCGCGTAGTACTTTCACTCCCTATTTGAAAAAATATGTTAATAACCCCTTTGCTTTTTTTAACACTATGCATAAACACCCCTCAAACAAAGATCTAATAAAAAGTAATGGGTGTCATTTTACTCCGAAAATGCCCAGTGGTGTATGCTAATAATGTCATAATATAAGAGTGTTTTGTGAACATTTAGTTTACTTTTGAAGTATTTGTTTCTCACTTGCGAGTCTTTCTCACCACCATCATACGTGCTTTAATCTCATATGAATGGGACCGGCTACTTGAATTTTCTCTCAGATTAATCTTTTGATTGATTTAGTTATATAAAATTATCGGCTACTCCATTAAACTGAGTTTTATGCTTGATTAACTACAACTCTTCAGAATTGAGTAGGATTGGCAACGTGGAAGCTATGCAACAACTCTTCATACAAGGATGTGCATATGCAAGAGGTCAATCATGGTTTCTGCTGCAACAATGACTACATTTGTCTGTTACAACTCTTGATAGGCTCAGATTAGTAATAGCTTTATTGACTGTGCAAGATGTTGGTGTTTTGTATTGTTCTAAGCCATGGAAGTTCTCTTTCATTGGTTGCTCTGTTGAACATATTTCTTATTTATAAAGCTTACCCTTTTAACCAAAAAAAAAAAAAACTAGAACGCTTCACTGAGGCAAGCTAGTGGCCGGTCTCTCATTTTCTTTCAAAGTAGCCTCAATGCAATGTTGGCCACTACTGAATGTTTCAAGTGAATGTTTCTGATGGATCAGTTTAAATGGCTTGCAGACAACAAAAAGTAGTATGACAAATGCTATATATCTTATATGTATGTATGTATTTATTTTTGAGAGAGACCAACATCAGGATATGGATGCTACTGAACAGTCCTTTTTTTTTCCCTACTCCATCTTATTGGTTGCTAACTGATAAACCTCTTAAGTCCCCCGATAAAAAATAATAATAATAATAATAATTAATTAAAAATATATATTACCATAAGAAATGGTTGATTTGATCCTGTCATTAAATATGAAATCAAAAACAAAAACAAGAATTGGAATATTTATTAGTAAAAAACAAAACAATTCTTGGAATATTAAAACTAACAAGTTGCTCTCTTTCAATGGTCCCCTTCTTAATAATTTATCAGCCATCAATTCAATTTACTCTCAATATTCTTAAGTTTTCTTTTTTGCATAATCCTTCTTTGAGTTTGTGGATGGAAAAAGCCCATTTTACAAAAGTAAAAAGGATTTTTTTTTTTTTTTTTTTTTAAAAAAAAGGCAAAAAAAAAAAAAAAAAAAAAATGTGCATCCTTTTCCAACCAACTGTAGTGCATGGACCAAACTTCTGCTCAAAATGCAGCTCAAAAAGAGGACCACACATCAAAGTTGGTGCACAAAAAGGTTCGATCAATTGCCTTATTTTGACGAACACAATTGCCCGGCAACTTCATTCGTGATGGCGAAGAGGGGGGCCAAAATTTGTGCTTCTGATCTATTAGAAGTGACTTGGATGCGCACCTTACTGATACATTAAAGTTGCAGAGACCACTGGCCTGGAGGAATGTTTTTTTGGGGTTAGAAGCTTTAATGCTTGTATTTGGGGGGTCTCATAAAAACATATATGTTTCCTACTTTTTGATTGAGAACTAACCATAACTTTTTTTTAAATCAAATATATATATATAGCTCAAGCTTCAAAACAGTAACACCCAAACATTGAATGGTACTAAAAAAATGATTTTTCTTAATTTTTTTTTTTTAAATTAAAATAAAAATTCAGAGGATTGGTCCTTCAACCAAGTACCTAAGCATGTGAAGAGAATGTGCCAAAAAGATTGTTGTCTATGACTTCTCACAGTCTATGACATTACATTGATAACTAGAGTCAGTAATAAAGCATGCTTTACAATTGTAAAGGTGATGAATATAATGGAAAACTTCATCACTTCAGTAAGATAGATGTTTATCTTCTCACTATTTTCATGTTGTTCATTTTTTTAATAAATATATTAGATGATTATGTAAAACATGCAGCATTTGTACACATAGATTTCGTAAATCCAGATTAAAATTTTAGGGGAAGTTGAGTATTAGAG